GAGGGTATCTCATCATGTTTAGGCTGTGATTACATTTTAAATACAATCAAATAAACTTCATTTTAACTAAAGGAAATATGTTTCCCCATTAAAGTCCTCTCTTCAGGCCACTCTGAAAGCTCATGGATCCTATACACACCTCCTCATGCCATTGGGTTACTCATTCCATAGGGATTTCTACTTTAAGAGCAGGTGCATGAGCCTAGGAGGAGGGCATCACTACAGAAAGGATGAAAGTGGGACTGTCCCTGAAAAAGATGAAGAAGTACAGAGTTTACATTAGCACCCAAAACAATGAAATACTACTTAGGTATAAATCTGTAAGATCCACATGAGGAAAACTGTAAAACTCTGAAACAAAGAAGAGCTAAATAAATGGGGAGATATTCCATGTTCATGAATAGGAAGGCTCAATACTGTAAAGATGTCAGTTCTTCCCAACTTGATCTACAGATTGAATGCAGTCCCAATCAAAAGCACAGCAAGTTATTTTGTGAATATAGACAAAGTGATTCTAAAATTTATATGGAGAGGCAAAAGACTTCAAATAACCAACACAACATTGAAAGAGAACAAATTCAGACATTATTCGACCCTAAGACTTTCGATAAAGCCACAGTAATCAAGACAATGTGATACTGCCGAAAAAATAGACAAAACAGATCAATGCAACAGATCACAGTCCAGAAACAGGCCCACATAAATAAGCCAACTGACTTTTGATAAAGGAGCAAAGGCAATACAATGGAGAAAAAATAGTACTTTCAGCAAAAAAGTTGAAACAACTGGACACCCACATGCAAAACAAACAAACAAATCCAGACACAGATCTTACACCCTTTACAAAAATTAACTCAAATGAATCACAGACTAAATGGAAAACACAAAACTATAAAATTCCTAGAAGATAGCAAAAGTAAACCTAGATGATCTTTGGGTTGGTGATGACTTTTAGGATACAACACCAAAGGGTATTATATACATACCTATATATATATAACATATAATCTACCAAAGGTACAATACCATGAACGAACCCATAAGGTGGATTTCATTAAAATGAAAAATTATCTGCTCTGCAAAAGCCACTGTCAACAAAATGAAAAGACAAGATACAGGCTGGGAGAGAATGTTTGCAAAAGACAACATTTGTTATCAGAGAAATGCAAATTACAACCAGATGCCTCCACACATCAATTAGAATGACCAAAATCCAGAACGCTGACACCACCAAAAGCTGACAAGGATGTGGCGTAAGGGGAACTCTCATACATTCTGGTGGGAATGCAAAATGGTACAACTATTTTGGAAGGCAATTTGGTGGTTTCTTACAAAGCTAAACATACTTTTACCATACATTCCAGCAATCATGCTCATTGGTAGTTATCCAAAGGAGTTGAAAACTTAACGCCACACAAAAAGCTGCACATGAATGTTTATAGCAGCATTATTCATAATTGCCAAAACTTGGAAGCAACTAAGGAGTCCTTTGGTAAATGGATAAATGAACTTTGCTTCAACCAATTATGTAGCATTAAAAAGAAGGGAGATATCAAGTCATGAAAAGACATGGGAGAAATGTTAAACGTATATTACTAAGTGAAAGGAGTCAAGCTGAGAAGGCCACATACTGTATGAGCCCAACTATGACATTCTGAAAAAGGCAAAACTATGGAGACAGGGATTGGGGGGATGAACAGAGCACAGAGGATTTTTAGGGTAGTGAAAACACCAGAATGCTGGACACACGTCGTTGTACATCTGTCCAGACCTACAGAACATACACCACCAAAAGTGAGCCCTCAGGTATGGTATGGACACTGAGCAATGAGGATAGGTCAGTGTGGGGTCATCACCGATAACAGATGCACCACACTGTTGGCAGCGAAGGGAAGGCATGCAAGGGGTATATGGCAAATCTCTGTACCTTCCTCTTATTTTGCTGTGACCCGAAGAAATAAGCCAAGCGGTTTAAACGCATTGGCAAGGGTGACAAAAGTATATACTCTGAATATCCAAATACAGGTAAAGATTGCTTCGAAAATTGTTAAAACACGCACCTGGCTTAGCTGGGACAGCTGAATGACCTAGCTTAACGCTTTGAGGAGAAATGAGCAGGTAGCAATTCATGGCAAACTCTGGGGTGCCTGAAGCCTGCTTCAGATTCTGTGTCTCCCTCTCTCTCTGCCCCTCCCCCACTTGTGTTCTCTCTCAAAAATAAACGTACATTAAAAAAAATTAAAAAAAAAATTCATGGCAAGCTCTGATTAGGTCAAACTGAATAG